AGCTTTTAGGCTTAAATATAAATATTTGAAAGCCCCGTTGGAGAACCTCTGTGTGTTCTGGATTCCCAAGCTATCCCACTGCCACAGTAATCCTTTAAGAGCTTCTGGGTATAATTGGATGAGAAATCTTTACTCTAACAACACATTTTTTAACGACAGTAAGACAGTAGTACTCGTACCTTCATTTTATTCAACTGTTCTTTAGCTTGATCATATATACTCTTCGGAAAGGTCCTCATGTTGTGTCCAGCATTCTCCCTCGGTTATTGCCAATTCTATTGACTCCAGTGGAAGGCAGATGGATTTTACAACAGTCGTGTATAAGCTAGAACAAAATACAATTAAACTATCATATCTACTTACTCATTATTCTTGTCATAACAACATGTTGTTGGAGCTTATTAGAGAGAGGGATGCTTAATAGGGAGAGGGAAGCTTATTAGAGAGAGGGGAACTTATTAGAGAGTGGGGAAGTCTTTTAGAGAGACGGAACATTATCGGAGAGAGGGAATCTTATTAAAGGGAGGGAACCTTATTAGAGAGAGCAAACCTTATTAGAGAGGGCGAACCTTATTAGAAGAGGGAACTTTTAGAGAGAGAGAGAGGGAGGCTTATTAAAGAGAGGGAGCAGTTTTATTAGGGAGGGGTGTTAATAGAGGACGTACAGTAAGTGTAAACATTTTTGCAGTTGACCACCATGTGCTGACTCACCAATTGGTGAATCTACCAACGGTAAAAACTTACCATTTATCTTTACGCCGGGTCTCCGTTCGCAGGTTGTCGTAGGTGGTCGTAAAGTTGAGAATATCTTTTTCAGTTTCAGGAAGCTTCTTTTCACGGATGATTCTGTACTCAATCATTCGTCTTGAGAGTTCTTTGTAATTGAATTAGGTCGCTTCACCAGAGGCAAGCGTGTTCGTCAGATGCTGAAATTGAAAAAATCAGTAGCTTTATGATGAACAGAACAGAAACATCGATGATAGTTAGTTCTAAACTGATCTGGAATAATGCGTGTCACATCCTCACTCTGATAACTGCAAGTTGATCACAATCAGCTGTGCCTAATAAAGCTCAATTTTCCCCCTAATGATGTCGTACTATGTAGAGGGCATTGCTGACTTATTAAGGGTATGAAGGAGCACTGGGCACTATTCGGGCGAAAATCTGGAGCAATGTTTTGATTTCTGATTTTAGAATCACCTGGACTTTCTTGTATTCAGCGTCAGAGGCTTCCAAGCCACCTACATCTTCATTGATAGCTCTTGATTCCTTGGAGCAACAGTTGAGCCAACGTTGGACTAGTTTCTTTTGGTCACTTTGGTATAACGCGAGAGCACTATGCATCCTTCAGAAAACAGCATTGAGAAAATCAACAATGGTAGTCTAACTGTTCAAGAATTAAAATACGTGGCAAACGTATTGTACACACGTAAAACGCACAACTTGTAACAAATCTGCACTAAACTTGCTTCCTGTTTCAAAGCTGCTAACAATCTTGTTGCAAACACATCTACTTGTGAAATTTTTGCAAGTGCATAGTCAAGATAAAAAACCCTTGCCAACTGTATATTGCACGGCTAAAACCCCTGTGATCTTGTGAAGGAGGTTAAAGGCACAAGCACTAACCCATTCTACCATCGTTACATCCAATTAGTATTATAAGAACATCCCCTTAATCTCTGGTCTTTACCATTGTAGTTACCAAATTATGTTCCGACAGTAAGAGATTCCAGTACAGCTCAGATTTTGTTCTTTTCTCCCTCGTTATACTCTGGTGAATCGAGCATTCCGTTGCCTGACAGAATGATATAATTCAAACATGGCTTGCCGTAGATATCCATCGTCAATACACGTCTAGAAATTGAAACGATTGCTTGTCTAATTTTCAGTGCGACCAACCTTTACATGCGGCTTATTTTTCGCTCATGGTACAGCAGCAATCACTAGCAAATATTTGGCACATATTATTTTTCGCTCAGTTGTAGTGTTGTAGACACATCCCTCTCAGATTGACAGATTATGAAGCAGTAGAAGACAATAGGATGGTGACTGCACGCAATGTAGATAGTGGAAAAAGCACGAAATATAGCATACGTTTAAATTCGACAGTAGTATCACCACCTATGAACCGTTACTTGTGGTAACGTAATTGTATAAAGCATTTTATATTTTGCGTATTGCTTTTAAATTAGCTAAACCTAGACTACACAGGTGAAAACGCGCAAGTCGTTACAGATCTGCAAACAAGTTGTAACAAGGTTGTTGTCAAGCCAATATGCAAATAATTGTACCTTAGTATCAACTTTACACTCCAGCATCTCCCTGTAATTCTTACTATCAACATCTCGGATGTTCAATTGCATTCTGTTGAGGAATTCTCGAAGACTTATTGTGACAGTTTTCCATTCCTTGAGATCCAGGGTTACTTTATCACTGTACGGTCCACAGGAGTCCTGTCTGTCGCTACGGTGCTAGTTGCCTGTGGTGTACCCTCTGTGGGGAGTTGTTCTTCATCTGGTACAGACTGAAGGTCTGAGGTGGTCTTGATTGTGACAAGTTTAGGTTCACTTGGAGTAGTATCCTAAGGTTTCTACGACGGAAAACGAGTTATGACATTGGCATAATATTCTGTACTATAAAGTATTTATTTTGTCGATTAAATACAGACCTTGCCCTGATGAAATCCGAGATGTGTGATCAATATCGTCAGGACATTTAGGAGCTGATAGCTAGAGCTATGCAGTATAAAGTTAGTTTAGTTTTTTGTTTTCTCGTGTAGTAACACTTTGGAACAGTTAGAGCTACCTAGTATAAAGAAAGTTAGTTTAGTTTAGTTTATCAATTCCATGTGTCCAAACTGCAAAGATGTAATCGATGAATCTTATCCACTCAAGTGGAATCAACCCACCAGGGGCATCCATTAGCCTGTTGTGTTCTAATATATTGACCCATGAAAAGATTGACATATGAGGGCGCCATTGGAATACCCATAGCAGTACCTTGGGTCTGAAGATAATATTTATTGCGAATTCAAAATAATTGTTATGAAGTATAAGTGCTAATACTTCCTATAGACAATCGTGTGTTTGCCTCGCTATTATATCTTTGAAGGTATTCGATTGATGCGTCAATGCCTTCATCATGCGGGATATTAGTGTACAGAAATCCAACATCTATTGTGAGAAGAGTAATGTCTGTAGGAAGATTATGGTTAAGTTTAAATATACGTCTAAGGAAATCCGTCGAATCTTTCACAAACGAGGGGATATTGCTAACTAAGGGTTTGAGGAAGTGGTCCGCATATATTTCGATAATCTGACAGTGGGGCCATCACACCCAGAGATGATAGGTCTACCCGGGTTGCCAGCATTATGAATTTTGGGTAGTAAGTATAGGGTGTGGTTTTGGTTGGTGTAGGGGCATTAGGAATTTAAAAGTTGTGTAATCTGATTGACCTAATTTATGATTATTTTGAACAAATTGTTGTTGCTAGGGGATGGGGGGGTTACTATTTCTAGCGATCATGGACGTTTTACCCATACGCCTTAAATTTACTATAGATACATAAAATTGCGGTTAAAGCTCGGGAATGGACCAATCGCATATTAATCGAACTTTTCATGGCCAGAAATGCAGGCCAAAATGGCTGCCAAGCATGCGCGTTTTAGCCCTAATGTAGAAATCCAATATGGCATCTTAATATAAGATTAGAGTGGGAAATCATTAAAATTTGCATTTTAGATAACTTACGATCGAGAAATCCAGAATGTGCATATCCAAAACACCACTAATTTTATCGAACTTTTACCACTGATAATTTGAAGACAGCTCGAGCTGCCGAACTATGTTCCCGAGAAACAATATTTTTACCTTAGTCTCCGTATAAGAAAGTGTGTAATTTTGCCATATTAGGTACTCTACAGTTCCAATTTCTGCTCGTTGTTGGCGGACATCGGCAGATATGGTTCGTATAGACTCTATCTTTATTTTGTTCACGTTTAAGAAGCTTAAAAACATATACTAGTGTGTTCCCCAACGCGTTGAAATTCACCAATTTCGCTGACTGGTCATTGTCTACTTTGAAGGCAGAAAGACATCGTACTTCGCACAAAAACATCAAAATATCGTAGTAAAAGTTTGCTTTCCTGTCCGCCATTTCTTTCCTTTAGCTGTTGCTATGTTACCAAGGGTTTGATCGCTTGTATTAGGAAGTTCGGGCTCATAAACAATTGTTCAATTTGCAACTTGAATTTACTAATTTAGCACTTATAAAACTATTGTAAGCTTTTGGAATTTGAACATTGATCAAGACTCGGCTGTTGTAAGGTCTATTATATTTTATAATTGTGCTTGGTTATATATTTGATTGTATTTGCAATGTAGGATGTTCCGCCTTTGTGCCCTATGCATACTTATTTGCAATGGAAATTATCTGTTGAAAGCCCTTCATTTACATATGCTGCCAGATCTGCATCTAAAGATATATTGTTTGCTGTGGATATTCCTTTCCCACTACTGAGAGACTGGTACAACCTAGTGGTATTGAAAAACCCTTCCAAACATCCTGTAGCTGTGATCGTAAGAAAATAGGCATCAACTTGTCCTCAAAATTTCCCCAGTTTACTTATATCGAGTTGTTTGAATTTGCAATTCCTGGAAATTCGTTTGGTCTTACATCTGATCAAGTTGTGAGGTCAGAAATAAGTAATTCCCTTCGGATTATGGCAGCAAAGGTGTATGCTGAGTATGGCAAGAGTCGAGGTAGAAAGAGACAACAACTGGATTTAAAGACCAAGAAATTCCATATAATGGATTGACAAACAATTTCTATTACAAAACTCAAACAAAATAAGGCATTTGTTTGCGACGAGTTGGCAAAATGGAAGGAAGGCAACATTAATTTAGAGGTGGAAATTAAAAAGCTTTACCATGAAATGGAGATGGCCATCCAAGAAAAGGATGAAGTAATTGAAAACCTGCAGTCAAAAAATGAAGAACTACTGAGATATATTGACCTCTTTGAAAAATCTGAAAAAATGCAGCATCAGGGTATAGATATTTCAGGAACGAAGAAAAAATCAAGGGCTCTCAAAATTTTTGTCTCGGGCAGAAACGTCTTATGGTTTGCAAAATCTTTTGGAATGGAATTAGAAAGCATGACCGTTAAAGAAATGAACTCTAATGTTAGACATAATTTAGTTGCTGACAACAGCGGTACCGGTAACACAGATAATGTTTCTGGATTTGACGCTGTCTCAGATGATGATTAGGGCAAGGTAGAATATGTCTGTTTCTCCTGGACAAGTTCTGTGTGGGTGATGCTTTTTATCACGAGATAACTATGTTGGTAGAAGGCTTGCCTAAGTCATATTTAGTTAAGCAAAGAAGAGACCAACTGAACAAAATGTGTCACATAACCTCAACACCCGGAGAGGAACATGGAGCCCAACTTCCATTCAAAGAATTACTAAAAAACAGGATAAAAGAATATACAATTGCTCACTCAAATGTTGTTAGAGACAATGAAACAATCAAAGTCAAAATTTCAGGAGATGGGGCTAACATGACCAGGAGTTCGAATTTTATTTTGATGAGTTTTACCATTTTGCAATCTACTGATGATGTTTTAGCAGCAAAGGGAAATCATACTATAGCTGTTGTAAAAGGAAAAGAGGACTATGATGTTTTAAAGCACTGTTCTAGAGACGTATTCAATGACATAAATGACATGTTAAGAGAAAAAAAAAACTAGATCTGGGAGAAGATACAGTAAACTTATTCTTTCTTGGCGGCTATTATAAATTTATATTACTCATGATGGGTCTTGGTGGAGCTACCTCAAATTATGCATGTGTTTGGTGCAAGATTCATAAGGATGAGAGGTGGAACATGTCTTATGATTTGAACCACTACAATTCACCAAATCTTCGGCGCACGTTAAAGGAAATAAATGAAATAGCAGGGGAAAAAACAAAAAATTTCTGTTCTGTGAATATCCTCCTTATAAACATTGATTTGGATCATGTGATATTAGATGAACTGCATTTGCTGTTAATAATTATGGATGTCTTGATTCAAAATTTGGTCTCTGAAGCAGTGCAATGGGACCAGGCCGACAACTGGAACAAAAAGAAGAAGGATAAAAAAATATTTATTTAGGTAATTTAAAAAGCACAATTCGATCTTGTGGGATCTCATTTGAAATTTGGGAAAAATCTAATGCAGGTGGCAAAGGATCTGGTCATTATGATTTTACAAGTCTTTTAGGGCCGGGCAAGAAGAAATTATTGAAAGAACTCCCGGAAAAGCTTGAAGGTTTGATCCGTCCGGCGGCTGAAATTGAAACGAAAAGCCTCTGGATTAAGTTTTCTATCATTTATTCTATAGTAACTTGCAAAACACCTTCCGAAGAAATGATTAGAACCTACTTTTGTAAAGCACAAGAATGGATTAATCTTTTTGTTAAACTAGGAGACAAATGTGTTGGTTATACAAAAATCACGGTAACCCCCTACATGCATGCCATGGTTTACCATGTACCAACATTTCTAAAGATATACAAAACTGTAAAACTGTTTAGTGGTCAACGGGTTGAGAAAAACAATGATGTGGCAAGGAGCATAGTTTTAAGAAAATCAAACAATTTGGATAGATAGATAGATAGATAGATAGATAGATAGATAGATAGATAGATAGATAGATAGATAGATAGATAGATAGATAGATAGATAAATAGATAGATAGATAGATAGATAAATAGATAGATAGATAGAAGGACGGATGGATGGATGGACGGATGGATGGACGGACGGACGGACGGACGGACGGACGGACGGACAGATAGATAGATAGATAGATAGATAGATTGATAGATAGATAGATAGATAGATAGATACTGCTGCAGACGTGTTGAAACTCGACTCAAGGCAATGGGACTTGCGAAAGGAAGAAATTAACGTGCAAAGAGAATGTGCACCAAAAACAATACCGAGTACTGGGAGCACCAGCTCCAAGAGGAAAGATAGAAGAATATATCTATGTGCTAAAAATAGAAGATACTGTTACAGAGTAATTACATACAAAGGTCTCACTTCAGGTTAATTCAGCGTAAGGGGATTTTTCAAGTGCCCTAACGAGAGGCCATCACCCCCCCTGAAAATGTATTGGAATTTAACGTTCCAGGGGGTGGGGGTGAGTGCTTCTCTTTAGGGCACTTGCTAAGAACATGACTACGGTTTTGTCGCAGAAGACTACGGTTTTGTCGCAGATGTGATACCTTTTCATGTGATTACTCAGTGACATCGTACCATTTCACTGTATATATTTTTTGGAATATTTGAAGCATTTACATTATTAATACAATTACAGCCAAGTTTTACAATATTTACCATATATATATACATTAGTGTCCTGACAAAGCCTTGGCTCGAAACATCTAATATGGTCTATTTTCTTCATTTAATAAGCATATAGTACTGATACTAGTTAAAATATGATATGAGTGAACGATTATATATATTTTAACTAGTATTTATGCAGCAGATTCTTTTGAGGCACACCGGAACCAACCCGTTATGATTCAAAATGTCCAAATCAACCGCTATACAGGGGGGTAAACATCTGCACTACAGGCTCAGAAAGGTAGTAATTTGAAAGCAAGCTGTTGTGAACCTCATGAAAATTATTTTTTATACTAATATCAAAAACTCAATGCTAAATGATTAACTGAATGAGTATAAAGTCCCGGTGCACCTCAAAAGGTTCCCAGATACTATCCCAATAAGTAGAAGTCAAGTCCGTTCTGCGCATCGGTTCTGCTCATAAATTTGTGAGGACCTCTGAATGTAAACATTGCCAAAATTTCGAATGTTTTGAATTGTTCTGAACATAAACTCTATTTCATATTCATTTAGAAGCATAGCGAACCAAAATGGTGTTAGATATTCAGACAGTATACATCATATTTTTTAAAAATACAGCAGTTCAAAATGTAAACAAACCGTTTGTTTAAATACGGACCTGACTTCCCCTTTAAACATTAACAGAAAATGGTTGTTTTTTGCAATTGATAGAAAGTTTTTATATTTGATACCTTTGCATCAACACAATTTTCCCACCAATAACCTTGTGGGTTTTGGGGCTCTGCGAAAGAAACAGCTTTGCTTTCACAGGAATTTCCACCTTTGTTCCATTCCCCCAATCTGTCCAAAAGCTGATCCCACTCTTGAGGTAGCTTGCATCTACTAAAATCATCTCTATTAAGTAAAAGATGCCTTCCATCCTCACTCTACACACACTTGTCTTTAAGCAGATATCTAAGAACATCATGCCTAAAATTCACTACTGTTGGCAACACACTCCTAGATTTTAAATTGTCTAAAATTGCAGAGTGCAGCATATCAGTTCCAGCAGAAACCAATTCAGCAGTTGCTTGTGGGTTCCAATATGTTCTACAACAAAATGCAACAAGACGTCAGTCTCTTAAATATCCTTCACAGACAGTCTATGTGACTACATATATGTGAATGTCATGACACCAGCACAGTCAATTGCACAATAACACCATTCAGTCTTACCTCAATGCAAAAGCATTTAGATTTTCTTCAGGTTCCCAACTATTGTCCAAGGAACTATAGCCGCTCCACTTTACAAGATATTCAACCTTAAAATTTGTTTAAAGGGAAACAAATTCTAGTCAATAAACGTTAATATACACTAATAAAGCCACCAAAATTATACACCAAATTAAAGCTAGGTTACAATGACACTATCAAACTATATTTACTTCCTAACCTTTCGTTTCCGCGTTCTTCTAGAAATTATTCTTTCTGCTTGATAAAATTTCCTCCTTTTTTTCTATTTTCAAAAAAAAATCAGCCGTGCTTAAATTGTTCAATTCTCGGTAGAAATGAACCGTTATGTTGTCCTTGCCAAACTGAACCACCGATCTGTATAATGCGCTCAACGGTCAAAAAACATGAGCCCACACGCCGCACCGCTTACTGTCCTGCATTTCTGGCCATGTGATCTCAACGAGACTAGACAAAGTTCCATCACAGCATGAAAGAGCATCACCAAATTAGCAATATTCCAAAGTTTCGTTGCGAAATGTAGTAAATTGTGGATAGTATAGCCTTGCAAAGTTTGTAATTTTCAGTTATTTTGTATTACGCCCCGGAAATGGTTACCACTTCCCGTGCGTAATAAAGAATGACTGAAAATTGCAAACTTGCAAGCCTATATTATCCAAATTTTACAACATTTCGCAACGAAACTTTGGAATATTGCTAATTTTGTGCTGCTAGCTCTTTCAAGCTGTGATAAAATTTTGTCTAGACTTGTTGAGATCGATCAATATTTTAGTTCAATTTGGACTGGTCCATTGACAGCTGGGATCGCAGGGTCACAGGTTCTATTCCTGCCAGAGGGCTTAAATTTTATTTTTACAACTGATCCTTCTTAGGTCTAATAAATGTATAAAATTCACCCTCGAAATTTCCAATGTACAAAACCCATCTAATTATTTTTTGAAATTTCCATACACAGCATTAAAAATTTAGCTTTCACAAACATTTTGGTCTTAATATAGGGAAGCTTAATTACGGAAGCGATGTTTTTGTCCACACGGATAATCTTACATGTTTTGTCGTATATGTTGAGGATTACCACAAACTGACATAGACAAAGTTATAGTCCACGCAGTTCCTGCTCGGCAATAGCGAGCTTAAACAAGCGACGTTTTTGTTAACACGGACGTTAGATTGCGGGATGATGGGGGAGAGGCTGGATTAAAAACTGTGTTTTTTTGTCAGTTTGTGGTAATCCTCAACGAATGTTTTTAATTGTTTTTGCTTCCTCGCTTGAACGCTATTATGCAAAATGCCACCAAAATTTGTTATACCAATTTTCGAGTGGCGTTAGTGTTGACAAAAACATCTCTTGCTTTTGAGCTCAGCATTAATAATTCAGCGGAACCACGCTGGAACAGTATAACTTACGATCACTTAAGCCGAACTACTCGCTAATTCGAACAAATTTCATATTCTCGTGGTTAAATTATATACTCAGTTTCCTCCCACTGTTGTGAAAACGTAGCATATTGTTCAGAGGTGCAGAGGAAATTAGCCTTTTCCCAAAAGATATCACAGAGCATTTTGCGATCGTTTGGAGGAACAAAATATATAGTGACAGGCGTCAAACTTTTTAGACAGACCCGAATGAAATAACTCCTTTTTACATTAAACATTTAATTTAAATGTGATATATACTA